CCTCCTCCTCTCTCTTTCTCTCTCTCTCTCTCTCTCCATCCGTTGCTTGCTCTCTCTCTCTCTCTCTCCTCATCCGTTGCTTGCTAATATCACCTTGGTGTATGTGTGTTGTGTACGTGTGTGGTGTGATTGATGGTCTAAAAACCTGAAGCCCATGCTCGATGTGCCAATCTATGGAAGGATTGCAACGATGGAGCTATTCCGGCCACCGGTATGTGACCCAAGTTTTTTCGCTTTTTTCTTTTGGTTCTTGGGGACTGTCCAGGCCATGCAACACTTTTTTGTTTTTGGTGTCTGAATTCTGTTGCGCTGTTGCACCGAAGGTTTTTTTTTTTCCGTTTTTTTGGGCTGTTAGAGAGTCTACTTGTCATTGTCCTGGTTTTGTGGAGGCCGGGGGCAGAGTTTGTTGGTCATGGGATAAGGTTGTTTTGAGATCCCTGTGCTCTTGAAGATCCCTCGCCGTTCTTTACCCTGTAGACCACAATTATCTTTTTTTCGGTTTGGAAAATAGTGAGTGGGCCTCCGACCTTTCAGGAGGCGGCGGAAACCAAACGACGGCCGCCGATCAGTCAGATTTATCAACGTTAGCTGTTGACGGACCCGGCCTCCTAAAAACTTGGGACTAGGCTAAAACTTGTCGAAACTGGATGGCGGCGGCAAAGGTACTAGTGGTTTGAAAAAAAGAAACACGAGATATTTTGCGAACCTCAAGGCTTACTCGCATAGTACTCTCCTAGATGGATCTGACCGCAATTACGCCCAGACCTGGATGAATCTGTAACGTCCCGACCTCAGTAGTTAAAGAGGCTTGCCACACGGGCTGTCGAATGTCGAAATTTTTTGACAGTTGTCAGAAATTTTTTGACAGTCGGGTGGTCGACAATTCCCCCCCCCTTCGCCACATAGGCTGTCGACGGGCAAGGTTTTTGGTCATGGCCAGGCGGACGGGTTTCATGGAAGTTGACGGAACAGTCCCTGACAACGCAAATTCGAACGCAAGCCACTGTCAAATTTCCGTCACCTGCAGGCTGGTGGAAGCGATTGCTGGAGGGCGGCTGTCGAAAGGACCATTCTGACACCTGTTGAAAGTTTTTTGAACTGCAATTCTTCGAAAGTCTGTGTGGTGATGCAAAATTGTCAAAAACCTGGTTTTCGACAGCCTGTGTGGCGAGCCTCGAAGTCCTAGTGGTCACTCTTCTGTACCTGAATGATGAATCTCTTTTTTTTTTTTTTTTTTTTGAATCTCTTTTTGTTGTTGTCTCTTCCCTAGTTTGGCCTCCTGATGGGTCGGTGAAACTCCGGCGAAACAGTCTGTCGCAGCCCTTGCCTGTTTGTTGTCCTCTTCTCCCTCTCTGCCTACGGTTCACCGGGCAGTTCTCGATAAATCCAAAGTTCCAAACCCTTACAAGTAAAGAATGATGGTGGGTTGTTTCGGGAGAGACCCGGTGAGTACAAGCATGTATTCAGTCGTCAGTAAACAGGGTGTGTGCTCAAATCCTGAATGATAAAAAAAAAATAATAATAATAAAAAAAAGAATGTCTCTCCATCCAGTAGGGATTGGTGGAAGCACTGGCGACTGGTGGAAGCAGGATTTAAATTTTAAAGTTTAAAAATTTAAATCCACTACATTCAGATTATGAGACCTGACGAGCTACTGATTACTCCACCCTCATGGGTATGCACTTGCGCTCATAAACAGGTCATGTGATCAACTTGTGAATGGTAATAGACATGTAGTTGTTTGAGTTATGAACACGTATGAGTTGTGGTAGCTCTTTGATTGTTAAAACCAGATAACGAGTTGTAGCCGTTCGATTGATGAGAGGAACGAGCCCTCACGGGGCCCCATCAGACATACATGTTCTGGGCAAAGGCCCCCAGCAAGCCAAGGGCCCGCTCTAAGTGAAGGCGGGCCTGAATATTCATCAGAGGTCAAAATTCGACACTTTCATAAGTGGGTATTCAGGCTCTTGCAGCACGCAAGTTGGTTGAGTGGACGCATGAGCCTCAGTAAGCTGCGTCGTACAGTTGGCTCAGGCCTTGGCAGTTGTGCCTGGGCACATACACGCAAAGCAGGGCCGATACATCGTGAAGCGGCCACCGGCCTCTGCGAAAGCAGTACTGTCGACGCACCTACCCCGGGGCCCTGCTCAAATGCAGCAAACAGCCCAAGTCCGGGGACTCAGGCCGTGCCCAACTGTAAAGGGCCCAGGCCCTCAACTGTAGTCTCGGGCCCGGGCGCAGGGACTGACACCCAACCGGAAGCTACTGGAAGCTTCCAGCCAGGCCACACGCAGCATCCAGGAGGCTGCCACTTCCATATAGGAAGTAAGGCAGCCCAGGCCAGGCATTCTGGCCCGCGTAGGCACTGCGGACACGCTGCTGCTCTGCGGCCAAGGGCGCTGACGGGGCGCGTAGAGGTGAAGTGGGGTGCTGCAGGGCAGCGGTGCGCTGGGGGCCATCGCCGGGCTGCTGGGCGCAAGGGGGTAAGAGGGGGCGATCTGGTGGTCTTCAAGGAAGGAGGCGAGTGTGTGGGATATCAAGGTCTCATGAGGGTGACGAGATACATACCTGGTGCATGAAGAGAGGTCGACTATGGTGTTGACATCATGTACATTGGTCTTTGAGAGTCGAAGTGAGCCTGTTGCGTGAACACAGCTGTAGGTAGTTTAGTCGAGTAGAGTAGGCTGGACGCTGGGCGTCAGACAGAGAGGAGCGACTTTGGATACTGTGTTGGTGTGGCCTACGGGCTTGAACATTGGCCATACTTGCAACCGCACGAGCCGCACATTTGTGCGGAGATCCGTGGGGGGGGTGTTCGATCTCAGCACATTCCGCACCTGCACAGACCAGATCCGTGGGGAGATCCGTGCGGGGGGCAGTCGTGCGGGTGCGGAAATGTGCGGGGACGTGTGCGATGTGTGCCTCACCGTGTGGTGCTGTGCGGGACTTTTTTTCAAATGTCAACTTTGAAGTTTGGAGTTTGAGAACTTTGAACCCCAACTGCCAACTACCGCATTGCAAGAATATCAAACTTCATGCAGCAGGTGGGGCAGGTTGTTCGGTCGGTACTCACCTGTTCATGTTTGCAGATGCAGAAACACTGCATCTGAGTGCCTCATCATGAAAACAGACAACTGCAGAGGGACACACTGTCAGAAAGTCGAAGTTGTTGGACACATCACGAAGAAACCACAAACAGTCTGGGACAGGACAACATCCGAAAGAGCTTCCCCATTGCAATGTTGCTAAGTCAGTTATATAACCTCTAGTCAGCGAAACAGTGAATTGCATTGTTGCCGTAGAGCTCAGAGTTTGCAGTGGGCCAGATCCTAATTCTAAGCCTCTCCATCATCAGAAGATTCAAAACCTCCGTCCTGTCCCTTCGCAGCCCCCTCCTCCCCACTCTCTTCCTCTTGTTCGCTCCCCTCGTCCTCATCATCAGAAGATTCAGAACCTCCGTCCTGTTCCCTGTCACCACCATCACCGTCATCATCATCATCACCATCACGATCATCATCACCATCGGCATCATCATCACCGTCATCATCATCAGAGGATGACGACGATGAAATGGCGCTTGACCATGTCACCGGCGAGCTTGCTGCTCGTCATTGCGACCTGCACACAAAAAACGGGCAGGACCACCAAATCAGCCATAGTTCCTATTACATCCCCGATTCACCCACACCAGACTCTGTGTCCTCCCCCCTCCCGCCGTAGACTCCTTCACAACCACCGCCCCCTTTCAACACGGCTGGCCAAACACGGCTGGCCAAACAGGACAACCTCAAAAAAAAAAAACAATCTCCTCAGTCGCTGTCTTTGGAAGTCTCCCTTCAAAATTTTCAAATCAAGTGGACAATTATCAAAATAATTAATAATATAAGTTATATAACAGAAACGAAGAAAAAAAGACAAAAGGGGGTATGTTGTCTGCCGTGAAATCAAGTGGAGGACAGATGTACGGCAGATGCAGGAGAGATGGAGGAGAGATGGAGAAATGGAAGAGAAAGGTCGTGAATGGAGGAGAAATGAAGGTGGAAGGGATATGAGAGGGAGATGGGGATATGGGGAGAGATGGAAGGCAGAGGGCGAGATACGGAGGTGGAGGAGAGATGGACATGAAGGAGAAAGGTGGAGGTATGGAGGAGAGATGATGGTGCACCTGGTGGGGTGGAGGAGAGATGGAGGAGAGATGGAGGAAAGATGGAGGAAAGATGGGCAAGTGGAGGACGAAGGTGGAGGCATGGAGGAGAGATGAAGGTGGGGATATGGCGGGGAGACTGGGATATGGCGAGCACCGAGTCCAGGAACAGGAAACAAGGAAAAAAAAAAACGAGCGGTATTTCCAGCGTTTTCCAGCGGAGCTGATATGGCGAGGAGATGGGGGGTTATAGTAGGACCTGGAGGACGACGAAGAAGAGCAGAGATGGAGGATGAGAAGAGGTGGAGGGAGGAAAAGACTGTACGTGAACCCCTAAAGTGCCCTGTACATCAAGCCCTAACGGCCCCTTCGCATCAAGCCCTACAGGCCCCTAAAGATTAGCATGACCCCTGCGCAAGGATGGCAAACAAAAGTCGAGAAAAGGTCGAACAAAAAAAACAGGCCCCTTTGGGACATCCGTTGCAATGGGAATGACACAGAGATGATTACCACGACCCTGATGCAAGGATGACACACGATTCGAGAAAAGGTCCAAAAAAAAAAAAAAAAAAGCTCAATAGATTGGATTATTTTCGAAATTTCGATACCGAGGTGAGAGAGAAGGAACGAGGTTGATGCAAAGGTTGTGGTAATATTCTCTGTATCGTTCCCAATCCTCCTCCGTTCCGTGACCTTGGGAATGATACAGAGAAGATTAGCACGACCTCTGCGCAAGGATGACACAAAATTTAATCGAGAAAAGGTTGAAAAAAAAAAAAAGCTCGATAGATTCGTTGCCTGGGTGGGAGAGGAGGAGGACGTGGACGACGAGGGCGACGAGGAAATGGAGGAGGACGACCTGAGGAGGGCGACGAGGGCAACGTGGAAGGGGGGAAGGAGGAGGAGGAGGAGGAGTGCGACGAGGGCTCGGTAGATTCATTACCTGGGTGGGAGAGGAGGACTTGGACGACGAGGATGACGAGGAAGGGGAGGAGGACGACCTGGAGGAGGAGGGCGACGGGGGTAACGAGAAGGGGAGGAGGAGGAGGAGGAGGAGCGGGAGGAGGAGGAGTGCGACGATGGGGGCAACGAGACGGGGAGGAGGAGGAGGAGGAGGAGGAGGAGGAGGAGGACCGGGAGGAGGAGGAGTGCGACTACTGCTCGATAGATTCATTACCTGGGTGGGAGAGGAGGAGGACGTGGACGACGAGGGCGACGAGGAAGGGGAGGAGGAGGGCGACGAGGGCGACGAGGAAGGGGAGGAGGAGGGCGACGAGGAAGGGAAGGAGGAGGAGGACGACGACGACGACGAGGGTGACGAGGAGGGGGGGAGGAGGAGGAGGAGGAGGAGGGCGA